TGGTCTACCAGATCTTCCATTTTCTTTGTTGGTGTTAGGGTGGCTGCATCTGAGGGTAGGTAGATCGATGCTAGTATCAACTCTCTATTTTTGCCCTTTTCCCATTGGCGTTTCACTTTAACAGCAGGTTTTTTTTGGGAACATAAATTGCTGTTTTCGGTTGTTAATTGCTTGGTAAGCTGAAAGATTACCCGTTTAGACTGTTAAAACTAGTTATTTTGGTCTTAATTATCCACCTTTTTGTGTTAGAGGTTGCATTAAATACCATAGCTTAGGTATCGTTTCGGTTCTTTTAGGTGTCCAATTCCTCCTCGGTTGAGGAGGAGGTAGTCTTGGTGAAGACAAACAGATGTCCTTTTGGATCCTTTTTTACCTCATGGTAAAAGGTGCACTATCTCGCAACCGCCATATCTGGATATAGCGTCGTTAACCTCCGCAGTACTCGTTCTGGGTCATCAGAGTTACTAGTAGCATCCTCCGAGGTTCATAGAGAGCCTTTGGTAAGGTTTGGGAGCTTATCCTGACTGACAACAGCCAGTGATGCTTCCTCCTATGGTTTGAAATCAACTGTAGCCTTTTTCAGCTATGAAAGCGCCCCATCGTCATCACAGACTACTCTGATGATTTCACCTGATTAAGTCCATGATTTTAACGTGCATGCTTTTACCTGGTTGCTGGAGTTGGACAAGATTGCTCGGTCGGCAGTAACCTTTCCATACGGGTTTACCTTATCTATAATAGCGACTTTAAAATGTCTTAAGGCGGCTTCCGCTAAGCTTTGGGAATGCGCAACAGCATTTCTACTACTGCGTGACTTTTTATACTTCCTTGGCGTGCCCTCCGTGGAGGTACTTGGGTAAAGGCGTTTCACACACGGGGTTGTTAGTCCCTGTCCTCTTTTAGAGGTGGAACCGTTGTCAGCTTCTGATGTAGGCATTTTTACGTTTGTTTTGGAAGGGGTTGGAGAGAAATAAGCTCTCCTACGGTTGCCATCGCCTCTCTAGCCTTTCTCCTTCTTTTTTCTCGGCACCGCAAATTTTGCGGCGTTTTGGCCGATTTTCCTGAGGTGGTCCTTGTGCATCCTCCGCTTGGGTCGAAATTTGGGGTGAGCATTGCTGTTCATCCTTAGCTCTAGCATCAGGCTGAGGTAAACATTTTGGTCCAGCCTTTGGTTGGGCCGAGATTAGAGGTGAACATTGCTATCCATCCTCAACTGGGGCTTTAGACTGAGGTGACCGTTTTGATTCAGCCTTGGAATTTGGTTTTGGTTTTTTGTTTTGTATATTCATGCTGTTCCCAAGAGTAGCTAGGGAAAGGTTGGTCGCCTCTGGCAGAGCCCCGCATTGCCAGGGGAATGTTTTATATAATCAGGTTTGTCTGGTTCTCCAAGGGGATCGTTCACGACCACATAAAACCCTGTGGCCATACAGCCATCGGTACGATTAGCGAACACGTAAATGGCATTCTTTATCGGTGAAGAGAAATAGGAAAAACATTATAGAAAAAGAAAAAATATAATAATGTAAACAAACTCAGAGTGAAATATCGTTTTTACACTAAATATTGGTGGTTTACGATTATGGGATAGGGCAAAACATTCTATTTAAGGCTAGCGCGGCCTGTTCCGCTGTTGGTCGGTATTTTAACACAGTTCAAAGCAAATTGGAAGCTGATTTATAGCACGTGATTACTCCATCAAACCTTCCGACTGGACTAGAAAGAAGTACGGCCAGTGTAGTAGTAATTTTTGCTATGGAGTGGTCTAACGAAGTTGTGTTGGAATTTTTACCATTGTGTAAATTGCCTAACTTACTTAAATTTTTACCGCCAATACTAATGTTGACTTTATTACTTACCATAGGAATGGTCCGACTACATTTTGGAGTAGGTCGGGTGAATTTTTATCAAAAATTAAATATTTACAGTAACGTGGTGTTTCAACGTTATTATTTGATGTTATTATCGATTTTTTGTTTCTCTTTGCCAATGTAAGAGCGTCTTTTCACGAGCTGTGAGATTCCGCCTTTACTATATCAATCTCATTTTCATCGAGTCTTTTTCTCTTTAGACATTCCATGAGAATGTTATTTTATGACTAGAAACTTAAAAGTAGTCAAAAAAATAGAATCTGATGATATATTTAATAACCACTCTCGGTATCCATCAAATCACTAAAACGCTTTTCTTCTTTTTAACTATTGCATAAATTCGATTTAATATTCGTCAAAAACTATTCATAAAGCAGCCAACAAAATTCTTTCCCGATTAATTACTCAACAGATTAGACAACTTTTCGTACACTGAGTTCAACCGTTGATATCAAAAACATAACTAATTAATTTCCGAAGTTTATTTCAGCTAAAAGTAACAAATTCAATTATTATTTTAACAATGCTTAAGTAAGTTGTTGTACGGTTTGATTCGAAAAGTTGTTGAGAGAGTTGAATGATTGGAAGCAGTAGTTTCGTCTTGTATGTTCATTACAGAAAGTTTAACCTTTAGTAACTTAATAACTTTAGTAACAATAAATAATTTATTTATTGTAAGTTAGCGGTTATGTCGTAACTATATAAAGTGTGTGTTATACTCGGTTCGCTAATGCCAGTCCGAACTGTCTAGTGATTTTAGTAATTATGTTTTTACGAAGTTAGTTACTTTTTGACAGACTAGAAGTGGCTGGAAATTATTATACAACCAAGTACACGTGCTCATAGCGCATTTCATAAGAGTATTTCGTCGACCTTATTTGCAAATTTATACTATGAATTATAAATTTATAGCATGTATATAGAATGTAAGTTTCTATTATATATAAAAAAATATGTTTTATAAAAAAAGTTATGGTAATTTAGTTTAATATCGTTAGATTGCGCCAAATGTAGGCAACCAACTTAAACTTTTTTTTAGCATTTAGTTGGAGTTTCTTTAGAATATATTTAATAAACATTTAATATTTTCCAGTTAATTTATTATTATTTTTTAAAGTGATGATAATAATGCTGAATAAGCAATATTTCAAATGATATCTAATCACAGGACGTACTTAATATTGTGTTATAAAGTAGGTTAGATAAAAAATATCATAATATTCATATTATAATTCAAAAATATCATTCATCAAAAACATAATCCAATATCATCAAAAATATAATTAAAACAAATCATAATCTTCTATTATTCCTATTAGAAACTAGTTTTGGACGATCCGGGATTTTACCTTTTTTATTTAACGTACTTTATTATGAGGATTTTACAATAACACAATATTAAGTACATTTTGTGATTAAATATCATTTGAAATATTGCTTATTCAGCATTATCATCATCACTTTTAAAAAATAATAAATTAACTGGAAAATAATAAACGTTTATTAAAAATATTCTCAAGAAACTCCAGCTAAATCCTAACAAAAAGTTTAAGTTGGTTGCCTACATTTGGAGCAATTTAACGATATAAACTAAATTACTGTAATTTTTATTTAATTTTTGACGCCATGTCAAACTGAACTAGATGTTAACTGAAATGTTTTTGTTATTAAGAACATATTTACATAATTTTATAAATATATTTTAATGATCCACCTACGCCGAATGGGCAAATAATTAAACAAAAATGGTTGGTGTTTTGAATAAATCTTTTTGCAGTTTGATTACTTCTTAATTTAACAGCATCCTTACTCATCTATAAATATTAACTTTTAAAGAACATTTCGAGGGTTTCGAGCGAAAACCCGATAACTAACAAAATCATTGTTCGGAGATAATCGCGATTAAAGATTTTCGTAACATTGAAGAGGCTTTAAAATCGTCATAGCAAGTTGTTTCAAATATTTGTTAAAGCCAAAGAGTAGAGAATTTAATGTTTAGTTAGAATAATTTATTTTTGGTTTAACTTATTAAAAGGTATTTACAAAAAAAAATAAAACATGATATTTATCGGGTTTTTCCTCGCTGAATGAGTACGACAGTTGATTTTATTGGTTTTTATTTTTAATTTTGTAAATTATAAAATAAAAATAAACTGTATTTTATTCAAATAAAACAAATAATAATCTACATTCTTTTTAGTAAATTTAAAGGTAATATCTTCTTCTTCCGATTCTTTTCCCAACATTATGTCTGGAATTCGATCTACGACATTATTCCCTGTTTTTAAACTTGATATCCAAGCATGCAGCTCTTCCAGAAAAATGTTTTCTTGGCATATCTTCATTAAATCCTTTTTTTGCTTTGCTTATTGGAAGAATACTTTTGTATTCAAAACTATACTAATACTATACTAATTCAAACCAATATCTTCTGATATGTTTAAACACTTTAATCTTCTGAGAGATTGTAGTTGATAAAAATTTTCCTTGTTTCACATTTAATATATTTTAGTCTCTTGATTTTTAGCCACTGCACAGTATTACCGTCAGAATCTACTATTCTGTTTTGCAATATATTTGCTGCAAGTGACTTTAAATTTAAAAATTTATTATATTTTATTTCTTTTACCTTGTATGGGCCTATATTATGTTATTGTCTACTGTCTTCATTTTCTGTTTTCTTGATGTTTGAAATATATTTGTCCAGTCATTCATGCATTTACATGTTTACTTGCAGATTCTATTACCGAGTACATAGAATCCACTTCCATAATATAAGTATGACCTGCTTCTAAGAACTTTTGTTCTATAATTTCCAATTGGTCGATATTTTGTACGATTCACAACAGCAGTACGGCTATAAATTGATTACGGTTTTGACCGCCACAAGTATCTGAAAAAATTGTTACGTGCTTAACCCTTAACCTCAGGTGTTAAGCATTCACTTAAATAGTAATACATACAAGTTCCGATTTCAGAACTACCCTTGTTGCCATTGATTTCATTCCAGCACAAGCAATATGCGTTATTGGGTAGCGGTGATTCCCAAATAGATTCCCAAATAGAATCCCAAAGATTGTATATTACCAATTTTCTACGATAGTCTAATTGACTAATAGATCCTTTGGGTATTTATAAAATTGCTTGTAAATCCAATGTTACGGACATAAATGTCTTGTCTTTATTTGCTTTGTCTTTATTTGCTTTGTCTTTATCTATTCTTTTAGCGGCCTGACAAATTTCGTTTCTTTTTCTATGTTCTTCGTAGATTATTTCAAGATTTTTTCTCTGCTCTAGATCAGCCTTAGCATATTTGGCACAGATAAGACACTGGTCCTTTTTGGGCGTGAAAAAACTCAGATCAAACTCTTCACAAAAAATAGATCGATATTTACGTAAAGCAACAGGGACTTGACTATCTTCGGTGCAGTTATCTAAGTAAAGCTGGTACATTTTTTTGATATTTAGAGTGGGATCTAAGTATTTTCTAATGGTATCATTTCAGGTATAATGAGATTCCATAACCGGAAAGGATTCAATATGACTTTTAACAAGTTGAACATCTTCAGCCTTTGTTTTGTTAACTGGTTCCTGTTTTCCGCGATTGTCTTCTTTAGAATAGTTGGTTGCTATGTCTTTAATGTATTTAATTATTAATGTCACCAAAGACGTAGACGTCTCAGAGTGTAAAATTTTCGTACGTTAAACTTTTTTTTGATTTACGAGATCATTTTTAGATACACCAATATCTTCAGAATCCAAAGATGACTCTGTGCAGTAGTTTGGATCCACGTCAGAATAATCACCTCCAAATAAAGAGTAGTATCGTCAAATTCATCAATTTTGTCGATGGACTTCTCAGCTTCTGAAATAAAAACCAAAATATTATTCTAAAATGAAGTCACCTGTGTTAAAATCATCATCTTCCATTGTATTTTCCATATACTCTGCTACTTGGCATTGATTTTCGTCTAGCTCAAAAGAAGTTTCAGATACGTTCTATTGCACATTCTTTGACATACAAGTAGGAATTTAATATTCACCATTAACGCGCATACGAGTAATCTGACGGCTGATGTGGTAATATAACTTTTTTATGGTCTAATGTAAGCGAATGAATCAAAAAACAAAACTTTAAGAAAATATGGAGCTATAGTTGGATTTTAATTTCAGTATTTTATATACCAGAACATTTTCAATGCTAAAAAATTCCACAGGGTGATGCGAACTTTGAGAGAAAAAAACATACTTTGATTGGTACACCCGGAACAATGAAAATTTACCCGATTAGCAACATTATTACAGCGATATTGTTAAAGAATAAGACTTATAACATGTTAAAAAAATTACTGAAATTGGACAACAGGTTTAGGAGATACGAGACATCAAAAATGACCCATTTTTAACTTGTCCGGTTAATTTTGCACCCCAGTACTGAATTTTAGGTCTTTATATCGAAAATGAATTTATTGAGATAAAGTGGATTTAAAATAAAACATCTTAATTTCACCTAATTACTCTTAAATTTAATGGATGACAATTCAAATAACTAGGAACTGTATAATTATACACATAACAAAAAATATTACTTACCAGTCTTCAATAAGGGTTTTTGGTGACCATTTCCACTAACATCTTACTTCGATTACTCATTTTACTAATTTATAAAAATCTAACTGTTTATTTCGAAAACAAGCACGCATCACAATCACAATTCAACATCAAACTAAACACTTGTTAGAGAACGCAACGTCCGTAATCAAGTCCAGATATGAGTAAACTAATAAGAACTACCGGCCCAAAAAGGTAAATCGTTGTACTTCGTGTAACCTAAAATTGATTTACTGGGTTTTCGCAGAACAAAAATGTGCTGAAATTGAATAAAGTATAATAGTATAAAATTCTTTATTGGATTTTCGCATGAATATATTTTGTTAAAATTAACAGCTTTGTAATCTTCATATCCGATAAATGTATTTATATATTTTTAAAATCTTAACTTGCGAATTTCTTTAAAAAAGAAAGCAGTTAAGTTGTTCTAGCTTATTTTTCCTAGAACTGATTTTATATTGATGACATTTATTATGAATTTCAATTTCCGATAAAATTAATTATCTGTTTTTAACTTAGAAATATTTCTAATAAAATTAGTAACTTTACACAGGAAAAGAAGATAAATGATTCTATGGGATTCTCATATCATAAATATGTGTACTTCAAAATATTTTTATCAGTAAAGTTATATATCGGGTTGGTGTTATTTAAAAATATGACTTAAGGGTTTTTACCATGTTTGGTTTTTATCAATTATTATGCTTAAAAATGTTAATATCAATTTAAAAAAATTTTCAGTGATAGAAGACGTGTTTTTAATACAGAAGAAATAAAAATACCGTATTTCATAATTTTGTCATTTATCGGGTTTTCGCTCGAACCCCTCGATTTATCATATTTATATTTATTCAAGAAAAACTTACCAACGCATTATCTGATAGAACAAATGGAAAACTTTGACTCTCTCTAATAATAACATTCAAAATAGAACTAACAAGGAATTAAACAAAAATAATGGAACAATAAAACATATTAGCTAAAATAAACAACGTGAATAATACAAATATTTACTACAATATGTTCAATTGTAACAACTCAAATATTATATTTTAAATATACAGGGAAAATTTTGTGGGTTTAGTATACACTTCCACTTTTGGAATAATTCTTCTTTTTTAAAGGAAGAAGTCTGCAATAGTAGTATATTTGAGCTATTAATACTGAGAAGTAGGAATTTTTATGTTGTAGGTTTCCTACAATGATTCTGTCAAAATATGCCCGAGCTAAGCGAATGGAGAATACTTAGTAGTTTGAGATTCTTTGTTTTTATGGGAATGACAAATAACTCAATGGTTCTAAAAATTTTAACGATTAAATTTTCTTGTGTAGCTATTTTTTTTCTTAATTTGGTGAGGTATTTAAAGTGATATTACAGTTCAAATTTGTACGTCTGAAGAGGCTTAACTCTCCCCTACCAAAAAAATTATATTCAAAGTTAGTTATTGAAGTTTTTGTAACAATAATAATTCGTTATTCTCTACACTTCAAAAAAATTCGTTTATACAGTATATATTCACCCCTTATCATGTTATCCGACGATTTTTTGTTGATATTTGCAAACAATCTTTTTAAATCAAGCTAAGCAAATACAAAACTGTCGTTCACTTGTTGCATTTGTATTTGATTTGATACATTTTACCAAAAATTTCAATCGACACCCTCTCCCTCTTGTTCACTGTCGATGGAAAAGAGCGTCAATCAAATCAAAAATGATTTAATTTTTTGACCAGCTCCAACGAACAATCAATATTTGCTTAATTGGGTGGGGAACTTTTATTGAATTTGACTGTGGGGGCTTCATTGTTCTTTTGTCGTTTCAATAATCTTTAAATAGATAACCAGAGGGTAACGCTGAGATAGATTATTCAAACAAATATTAATTATTATTTTAATGAGCGCATTTTTAAGTAACTTGCAGCATTCTAAACATTTTGGATCTAGTTCTAATTGGCTGAGGATCACATTAGTAAGACCTTGTCAGCTGTGTGTCACCAATTATGTGGCCTGCGAATGATTAATTTGTTTCTTCTACTTAGGTAAGGTAGCTGAAAGGTTTCGATGGTATGTTGTATTTATGTAGTTTTGAAGTTGATCTCTTTTATTGGTTTAGCCAAAAATTTTTGATTTGGACCTAAAAAGTGTTTTTATGTTTGATGCTAGTTAATTTGGTTGGAATTGCTTCCTTTGCTGCAATATGATTTTGAATATTTTATTTGCAAAAATGTTATGTTTGTTCTAGAACAAGAAATACGGTTTAACGTTTAGTGTATGGAATGAACTAATGGGTTTTTGGTTAATATATATATATATATATATATATATATATATTATATATATATATATATATATGAAAGTAAAAGATTGCATTTCATTTCGATAGGAACTCCACCATAGCCCGACACGTGTTTCGGGTTATTCAACCCAACGTCAGGAGCTCTTATTTATTTTTGGTGTTTTTCTAGTAAATAACAATAAATGTTGCTTAATTTGTCTATGTCTGACCTTTTGTTAATGCAAGATGTGCTAGATTTTATGAAACACATTTCCAAAAAAACACGTTTTGAAAGGTTCTTTTCTTTTGCCAAAATACAGGAATCATCGAAATTGAATTCATGTTTTAGAGTTAGTGCATGTTCTGTCAATGCACATGCATTGATTTTTTTGGTTTTTATATCACTACGATGTGATATCACCCTGCTGTGAAAATTACGAGATGATTCTCCTATGTAAATTTTATTACAATTAGTACACGGTATAGAACAAACAACATTCGGTGACTCTGTATTGTGAAAGGATCTTTTGTTTTTGTGTAAAGCTTCGATACTGTTTTCACAACAACAAAAATACAACAACGATACTGTTTAAAAATTACAACCAAAAATTTGAAAACAGTATCGAAGATTTACACAAGAACAAAAGATCCTTTCACAATACAGGAGTCATCGAATGTTGTTTATTCTATACCGCGTACTAATTGTAATAAAATTTACCTAGGAGAATCATCTCGTAATTTTCACAGCAGGGTGATATCACATCGTAGTGATATAAAAACCAAAAAAATCAATGCATGTGCATTGACAGAACATGCACTAACTCTAAAACATGAATTCAATTTCGATGATTCCTGTATTTTGGCAAAAGAAAAGAACCTTTCAAAACGTGTTTTTTTGGAAATGTGTTTCATAAAATCTAGCACATCTTGCAATACCAAAAGGTCAGACATAGACAAATTAAGCAACATTTATTGTTATTTACTAGAAAAACACCAAAAATAAAATAAATATTTACCTGTACATAAATTACACCTCTATGTATAATATGTTGCATACCATTAAGACAGGTTTAAAAAGCATAGTTCACCTAAGAAGGGCCTCTTGTATTTAATATACACAAGTAAAACATGCTATCAACCAAGTTTTACTATTTTTACAATAAATTTTAAAAATCTTATAATGTATTCTGTCCATAATTATTGTATATTTTAATGTTTTAATGTGTGTTATAAATGTTGAGTGTCAATGCTTATATAAATAATCTCAACGACTAGTAAGTTACTCTGAAGAATTGTGATATTATTTAAATATTTACATTTTTGTCTTATTACAGTGTCTCGAAAAAGGAATAAAACCATTCCGAAAGCTCGACAAAAAAGTCAAAAGAGTGTTTTTTTAACATCCCGGCCAATATTCTGACTGCAACCCTAATAAACTGTGTTATTTGTATATATATATATATATATATATATATATTAATGGAGTCGATAGAGGACATCAAATCTGTACATATTGCAATGTTTTTGTTATACAAAAGATATGAAAACCGATGCTAAGTTGAAGAAG